AAAGGGTTAAACCCAAGTGATAAGGGGTGTCCGGGTCGGAACAGGGCGAAGGGAAGGAGGTCACCCAGTCTCCGCCAGTCTCCAGGACCAATTTAGTCAAAGTCTCCTTTATTGTTCTATTCATTAGCTCTACCTGCCCAGAGCTCTGGGGTTATATGCACATTGTAATTTTTTTTTATTTTGCATTTATGGGGTACAGATTTTAAGGGTTTCAATAAATGCCATTTTCCCCCTCCCCACATGTAATTTAATCTATCCCGTAGCCTGGCCAGCCCTTGACTAACCTGACAGATAAAGCAGGTCTATTATTTGATCTTATCCCTTCCGGCAGTCCATAACCTGGGGACTATTTTTTTTATTTCTTTAGCTACTGTCAAAGCTGTTTCTCCTTTCGTAGGGAAGGCTTTTACCCATCTGGAAAACGTATCTACCATGACCAGTAAATATTGGTACCCGTATTTTTTAGGCTTGACCTCTGTGAAATCCACTTCCCAAAATAGTTCATCTCCTAGAAATTATGTACGGCACACCCCCTCCTGTAGTTCCTAAGATGAGCCCTGAGGCTCTTCCGGGTCATCCCCAAAAAAGTGTTACAAGCAGTGCAGGCTCTGCAACGTGTCCACAGTCAAGTATGGCCGGGCCTCCGTGCTATCTACCGGCCTAAGGAGGAGGGTGCCAGACACCCGTTTCACCCACACCAGCCGGGGGACTGGGTGTGGGTGAAACGGCATAACAGCAGAACCCTCAAGCCAAGGTGGAAGGGCCCCTATCAAATTATTCTTGTTACCCCCACTGCTCTTAAGGCTGATAAAATAAGTAGCGACCTGGATACACCACTCCCACGTGAAACCTGCTAATAGAAAAAAGAATACCCCCTTTCCCAAGTTTTCTTGATTACCCCACGACGCTTTAAAGTTGCACAGGGTAGCAACCCTGACCACCACTCCCACGTGAGACCAGCTTGGTAAGGGACGAGCAGTAAGCGACAGCAACGACGAGTAAAGGACGACAGCACGACCTCACCAAATCCACTAAAGACCAAGGCTGACCCGGTGTGACATCTGCAGAGTAAACAAAGACTATTGACTCAGATTCTGGTAAACTCTGCCGATTGCCCTTCTAGGACTCGGACTAGGACTAGTTACCCAAAGATTTGGACTACAGCTGCAAAAATGGGTTCTAATATTGTTCTATTTTCATATGCAACCGTCGCATTAAAGATATCCCTGCGTCTTAACCCCAAAAGTTTTGCCAGTTACTAATTCAATAACGAGAACCCCACATCTGCCATATAAACTTACAGTAGACAAGTAGACTTAAAAACTATGAGGTATAGTAATAGACACCTTCAAAGGCAGAGCCACTAAACCCTGGTGGCCAAATTTATTATTTCGAACGTAGAAAAAGTCCAGTCCTCCTAGGAAACGGCACAGACAGTACGATATCTCAGACGAGGCCTGCTATCTACCGTCGTTGGACCTATAACAGTGCTCGTGCATAATCCTCACCTTTGGGCCAGGTATTCTGAACAGGTTAGTCACTATTCATAAAAAAACAACATAAAACTGTGCAGTTACATCGGTACTCGCAGCAGCAGACCAAAGATAGTGGTGTTTTAAAGAGAAACAGTTTCAAAAATAGAAAAAAGTATAAGACCCTGTGATACCAGGACAGAGAATGCTCGTAGAGGAACCAAGAGAAGGGGATATGGTAAGATCCTGGGCTGATAAAGGAACAATGAACCTTCCAGCTTCGGTGTTTACTGCTTGTTTGCTACCGCAAGGCATATGCAGTATATTATGGGCCGATGCAGAGAAAAGAAGGTACAAAGAGAGCAGAGAACCTGAGTGATTTCAGCTAAGACCTGGAACAGGTTATGGGCTGCCATCAGGCGGGCAGGGCTGAAGTGAAAATCACTGTGGGGATCGGATGCATGACCAGTGTGTAAACAACTAAGTTATAAAAGGGGACTAACACACTAAGGAGGGTCCTTGCCTGCGAGAGTGGCCACTGCGTTGGTGCTCTGGGGCTTGGACCCTGGCTAGCCAGAAAATAAACCTCCTCTTGTGTGATTGCATCTTCAATGTCTCTGCTTTTCTGTCCGGTGGGGCTGTGGAAGGTCGGTCCCTAACACTTGTGATGAGCATCAGAAGTAGGAGGCAGTCTTGTAGGACTCAGCCCTCAACCTATGGAATCTGATATAGTCAGGTAGATAAGTGTCAGTATTGAATTGAATGAGAGAACACCCAGCTGGTGTCCTCTGAAGAATTGGTTGGTGTGTAGGAACCCTCTACATGCGCGCGCACACATACACACACACACACACACACACACACACAGACATCTAGTGTCAGAGTATTGAGCATATTGTGTGGTGACCAGAGGTGGTCTATATTGAGAGAATGGGGAAAACACTTTGGTTTTTCCCATATATTACACTGTGTAACACATTATCACAAACTTACCCACTTAAAACAACATACTTTTGTTAACCTCATACTTTCCATGGGTTAGGAGTTCAGGCACAATTAAGCTGGGTCCTCTGTTAGGATCTCATAAGGCTGCAATCAAGTTGCCAGTCTGTGCTCTCATCTGGAGGCTCACATGGGGAAGAGACTGCTTCCAAGCTCATTCATGTCTGGCAGAGGTCATTTCCTTATGGTTGTAGGACTGAGGGCTCCAGTTTTTTGCTGGCTGTTGGCTGGAGGCATCCTGCCATTCCTAGAGGCCTTCCTGCAGTTCTTACCTCTGTGAGCTTCTCCAACACATCCACTTCAGCAAGCCACAAGGAGAGTCTTCAGTCTGCTAAGAACTTGTACATATAACTTAATCACAGGAGTGACAACCATTACCTTTGCTTTATTCTCTTAGTTAGAAGCAAGTCAAGGTCCTGCCCACACCCAATGGAAGGGCATTACCCAAAGGCCTGAACACCAGGAGGTAGAAATCACTCAGGAAGGGAGGGTGAGTCATGATGACTTTTATCATTAGAAACATGTATGTTTGTTTCCTAGCCCAACAATTCTGACTTTGTGTTAATTCTGGCATAGCACGGCCCTCTAGACGTGTGCTGTCCAATATGGTAGCTTCTAGTCCCCTATGTGGCGAGTGTGACTGAAGAATCAGACTTTTAATTATTAAAAAAGTTAAATGAATTTAAATTTAATTTAAAAATCGACACCCAACTCAGTTATTGGAAAAATGTGTGTTTGCAACAAATGGGGTACATGAATCTAATGTTTCAACTGTAAATTTTACGAAATCTCGACACTGTTAAGTATCTCCATTGAAAATTCAGTGTTCAAATTGATGTTAGTTGTAAAATATACACCAGATTTCAAGGACTTAATATTGAAAGAAATAAAATACGTCAATAATTTTAAAACTGATTACATGTTGAAATGAAAACATCCTGAACATATTGGGATAAATAAAATATATTATTATAAACAATTACATGTTTCTTATTTATATTTTTACATAGATGGCTTACCAAAAAATTCCAAGTTCCACAAACAGCTTGCATTCTATTGCTGAGAGAAAATATTATCAATGGAAAAGGACTCTGTAAAATAATTTTAAAAGGTTTACTCTGAGTCAAATGTGTGTGCCCATGGCCCAAAGAGCCACACCCAAGAGGCCTTGAGCAAGTTGTCCCACTATGGTTGGGTTACAGTTTGGTTTTATACATTTTGAGGAGACAGGAATTACACATAAAATCATAAATCAATACATAGAAGGCGTACATTGGTTTAGCCAGAAAACATAGGACATCTCGAAGGGGGTGGGGGCTTACAGGTTATAGATGGGTTTAAAGATTCTTTGATTTGTAATTGGTTAAAGAAATGAAGGTTTTGAAATGCTTTAAGTTAAGGATATCTGTTCATCACAGGCAAGCCACCAGACATTTACTCAAACTCAAATGATCTGTTAAGTACATTGACGACCTCCAGGTGTGGTTTACGCTTTGCCTTGCATGGCCTTCGGCCTGGTAATGATTTTGTATCTTATTATTAATAAAGAATAATTCCAAAAGAGGGCGTAAGTAGGCAGGTCTGACTTCCCTTCTCCTCAAGCCAGCAGTTTTAAGGTTTTCCTGGGGCCCCCTTGGCCAAGAGGGGGTCCATTCAGGCTGGGGGAGCTTAAAATTTTACCTTAGTTCACAGTACAAACAGGTGTTGAGTTTACAGCTGAGTAAGACACGCCCCAATGTCAGCTAAAAATGTAAGGCAGTATCTGATAGTGTCAAACAATAAATGTTGCAGGAGCTCAGAGGTAGGAAGATGGGACCATCCAAAGGCTGGGAAAGTCTTCAGGAGAAGGCTACAGGGACAGCACATTAAGTTTGGAGACCACACACGCGCCCCAGGTGGCACCGGGCGTGCCCTGCCGCCTTTGCGTCCTCTGCGCTAACGACCCGCCCCAAACGCCCCCGCCTCCGGCCCCGCGGACACTCTGCGCCGTTTGACCCCGCCAAGCGCGCGTAGGCCGTGCTGCTCGCCGGGTGGCCACAATGGCGGATGTCACCGAGAGGACACTGCAGCTGTCGGTGCTACTAGCCTTCGCCTCCGGCGTGCTAGTGGGATGGCAGGCGAACCGGCTGCGGAGGCGGTATCTGGACTGGAGGAAGCGGAGACTACAGGACAAGCTGTCAGCGACGCAGAAGAAGCTGGATCTGGCTTGAGACGCAGCCCCCGCCGACCTCCGCGTGGCCACCTTGCCATCCCTGCACCGGAGCTCCAGGATGAGCGCCACACACTCCCCGCCTGCTGTGGGGGGGCTGATTCCCTAACTGCCGGTGAGCAGTACATACAGTGGCTCTCCAAGGGTAGGCTTTGGGATCTAGCGTATATCTTGGGGGCAGCCTTTGGATAGCTTGCAGGAGGTGACTTGTTCCCACAGAAACCAGAACAAGGAGAAAGTTTTTTTCCCCTACTAGCTTGCTCCTTGGTATCACAGGTGTTTAATGGGAATGCCTTACCGCGTGCAATGTCTTTGCGCCCTGAAAACATTAAACTTCACACTGAAAAATACTGGAAAGAACGGGCCAGGGAGGTGTTCCTGCCACATTCCCCCCCTACCCTCCGCTTATTATTCTTTTTGGTAATATCCTCGGTAGCACCATAGAACATCTTTGCGTTGACAGTTTGTAAACTGCAATCTAAATTCTCCAGTCTGTTGCTGGCAGCCTGATAAGTGCAAAGAGCAGTGGTCTGGAAGTTGGGGGCCCTGCATCTAGTCCTAGCTTTTTCGTCAGAGCTATGCACCGTAAATTTTCAGGGCCTCAGTTTTCTTGTGTGTAACATCAGGATCTTATAGTTGGTGGTTTATCATCACAATATGATTTGAAGTTAAAGGTTATGTATTCTAATTTTTTTCCTCTTTTCTGTTACCAGCAGCTTGCTGAAGATGGATATGGAGCACAAGAAAGAAATAATTTCTTCTTGCACTTTATGAATCAATTTTATTTTTAAAATAAAAAACTTCAAAATATCTTTGGACCTTTTTTTTCCAAAAGGGAAAGGAGTATTTTGCCTGCCATGCAGTTTACTGCATGAAGAGATCCAGATTCTCACAACTGATACATTAGTGTTTTTGAGCAGAGGACCCTATGCCAGTTCCTTGGTACAGCCACAGGGAGAGTTGTCTGAGGGACTATCATGGGTCATTTTACTGGACCTGTTAGAAAGCAAGGGGCTGTGTAAACATAACAGAGTTAAGGGCGATGTATGTGAAACCTTTGCTCTTCCAAGAGTGGCACCATTCTCCAAGTCAGAGTTTAAGTTTTTACTGGCAAAAATTTTCTTTATGTGTCATTACGGGATGCATATGTGAAGTTGAAACCCTCCTGAATACAGCTTAGTGATAAATCTCAACTATATCTAAAAATCAAGAGTGAGTGAAACAAGACCCTGGTTATTTTTGATTTGCAAGAGATATTTTCTAGAACACTGCCCTTGCCCATTCCTATTAAGATTAATTTCCTGTCTCAGCTGAATATGGTGGCTCACACCTGTAATCCCAGCACTTTGGGAGGCAGAGGCAGGAGGATTACTTGAGACCAGAAGTTCAAGACCAACCTGGTCAACATAGTGAAACCCTGTCTTTACAAAGAAAATACCAGCTGTGTGTAGTGGTATGCACTTATAGTCCTAGCTACTCAGGAGGCTGAGGTGGGAGGATCAGTTGAGTCCAAGAGTTTGAGCATGCAGCAAGCTATGATCGTGCCGCTGCACTCCAGCCTGGGTGACACATTAAGACCCTATCTCCAAAAAGAAAAAATTTTAAAGTAAAAGTAAAAATTGAATTGTTTATGATTAGATACGTTGAGTTTCAGTTCTACAGTAAGGTCACCCACTGAATATATCCACTAGGGAGTTGAAACCATGAAGCTGGAATTGAAGAAAAGGTTCAAGTAGGCTAGGAGGATCTTAGAGGGGGTCTGCTTGGATGTGCTAGTTAAGCCAGGAGATGACTGGTGTAGTCACAGGAGAGGTCAGAGAAGAGAACCAAGGGCTGAAAAGTTTGAGAAACTTGAGAAAGGCAGCAATAGTAAACATTTGGAAACTTGGTAAACTTTGTATTAGAGAAGCAAGGGAAGGAGAATTTCAAGAGAGGAACCGGCATCATCAAATACTCTGAAGGTAAAATATGAGGATTCAGAAAAAGCTGTAGATATCAATGGCTCTGGAGGATGCAGAGGGCAGATGGTAGCAAGTTAATGGGCAAAATACTTAGGAAGAAAGTGATGATGGAACACCTTTAATTGGCAAATGATGGCATCAACTAAAAGCTCCCCACTCCTTTTTCCTGGGAACATGTAACCGTAATACTTCCAACTTTGTTTTCCTTCTGTGAATGCCGTAATTAAGGACTTAAATGTGGATTCTTAGAGCTCCATGCTGTTTGCCTATTCACCAGGCCTCACTGAGGCTCAAAGAGTTGAGGCTCTTTGAGACAAGGTAGGTTTCTTGAGGCATGTGTTGCTCCCACGGTGTTAGAATGTGCCCGGTTAAGCATGTTGGTTATGTCTGCCCACATGGGGCAGAAAAGGAAGGCAGGGTAGGGAAGAAGTGGGCCAAGACAGGTAAATGCTGTGATAAGATAGCAGTGACAGATTGGGGTAGGGACACATATTTCAACAAGTCAACAGTGTGTCGTTTCCAGGGTATATGACTGGCATTGTGATTCCTGGCTCCCATCTTTGCATTTCCAATGCTGGCTAACAGAGAAAAAGTGTATACTATCTCCATCTGAGATAGTATTTTCGAGGGAAAAACCCAACTACATTTAAGTAGGGCAAAAGTAAAAGAGCAAAGAGAAGAGAGGTACTATCAAGGGGAAATGCCCACCCCAGAGCTGGGGAGCACAGGCACAGCATAAAGAGGCAGTAGGCAGAAAAGGAGATTAGGAATAGCATAGAGTGGCTGAAGATCCCAAAAGGATACGGAAGGTCCTAGAGAGAGATGCAGAATTCAACCCAGGCCAGAAAGGAGTCAGCCTTGGAAGGGGCCTTGTGCCTTCTCTCCTGATAAAGGAAAGCTAAAGAAATAGAGCTTCATAAACAGTGACTTTCAACCTTAGCTGAACACCACACTTGCTCCATTCCATATTGCTTCAGCCATATCCAGACCTTGTCATGAGTTCCAACAGGCTTGGAACTCATCATCATATTATACTTGACATCTTTAGTCTCAGGAGGTAAACCCACCTCTGTAGGATAGCTTACATCCTCCACATCTCCAATAGAATTGCACTCTCTGGAGATCACTGGTTGTCTCACCTTCTCAATCTACCTCATTAGCATCCTGGGCTCCCTGGTCATATGAGAGTCCATCCCAGCTTGTGCATTTACCCTCACCATTGCTTTTGCTCTCCTTTTGGGCCACCAAACTTACCAAAGACAGACACTTCACCTTTCTCACTTGGCCCATTACAAATGGGTTCTATTGGGACTGCATTCTTTTGGTTTCTCAGTAACTAAGAGTTCCTTGAACCCAGTTTACGTTTCTAATTCTATTAGATGGCTCTCAACCACAAGAGAAGATAAAGGCAATGAGGTGGGAAATTCCTCATCTCTCAATAGCTCTGTCTAGAGTATTGGTTTTCAATAGAACTGCATGCTATAATCATCTAGGAGCTTTAACAATACTAATCCCTGCATGGCACTCCCCAGAAATTTTGATCCATGTATTTTGAGATATGGCCTGGGCACTAGGGTTTTTAAAACTCCCCAGGTGATTGTGGTACTCAGCTCACAATTTATTTGGCAGGGCGTTCCGTCACCAAGTAACATTTCTGTGGTAGTATTTGGTATAATTGCGTGTTTCTGGTCTGTACCATAGTTTGTAAGCTTTTTGAGAGCAGTGTTAAACATCTTGTACCACAGGTCTAAGCAGTGCCTTGCACCAACGTGCTCATAAATATTTGTCATTTGTATTTGAGGTGGATTGTTTTAAGACCCTGAAACTGCAAACTTTCTCTATTCTCTTTGCTGTAATCTTTTAGTTCGTTCTGAATCACCTTGTTCCACTAGTTCTTGGTACATTACGAGTCTGTTCTATAAAACAGTTGTATATGCGGAGTGACCCCCAAATGTTGAAGTAGCCCAGAAACCAAAGAAGGAGGCAGACAAATCCAGTTTGTCAGTATGGGATGATTTATTAGAGGGACTTAAAGACAGTCTTGAGCAGTCTTGAGCAGTGGCAAAACAGGTAGATCCTCACACCTCAACCCTCCAGACCCAGGACTTATATCTGTGGGGAAAAAGAATACGTGCTCTGGAGGGAGTGTATAGGTGGCTGAGAAATTGCTGCTGACATCACAGTGCACCAGCATCAATGTTTGTTTTGGAGGAAAGCTGAAACTTACAGTGAATGGTTCCTATGGTTATATGGTTTCCTATATAAAGAGTAATGCATCAACTAGACATTTTAGAGGCGTTATCAGACTCAGGGGTAATAAGGTGGATTAGCATTTAAAGTCACTCTTGTCCCCGCAGAGTCTCTTGAAACCCTTAAATTCTGTTGCAGTGAGGAAGCAATACAAAATATCTAATACTCAGTTTAACACACCGATGGAAAGAAATCCTGATGAATTTTATGAAATAGCTTGTTCTCAGGAGAAACATTGGCCATGATTTGCTTCAGGTTTTTTTTGGCTACTTCACTGTATATCTTTATTTTTTTAGGTTACATCAATTTCTATAATGGCATCAAGGGATAAGTACAGAGAACCAATGACTTAGTGTTAAGGTGACTGTCCTGAGCATTTAAAGAAGTCAATAGAAATGGAAATTAATGAAAAAGGAGGTAGATGAGACCAGACCTTATGTTGCAGCAGGGCAAGCAAAACGAAGGGCAAAGAAGAGCTTGGCTATGGTCTGCATCCTATTTTATAGTGTCCAGATAGGGACCTTCCTTGTGGTTCAGAGTCACATGACCTGAGCCTTAACTACGCATGTGGGTTCTAGGTCACTTTCTGGACTTTACGGTACCCATGTGGCTTGGCCTGTGGGCTAGAGAGTCTTCTGCATTGTTTTGCAGCTGGCGTGCCAAGTTCTGATTGGCAGATTTGTAGGGTATTCCCTCCTCCCCCAGCTATGGAGAATCAGGGTTGGGCAGGACCAAGATGGGGACAATAGCACCCACTTTCATCCCTAGGAGACCTGGGATACCTCACTACCTAATAAAAGTAAACACCTGAGGTACAACAAAACAGACAATACCAATGATGTCAAGGAAGTGAAGAATAAAACCCATACACTGCTGCTAAGAGTGTTAATTAGTATAACCGCTTTGGGAAACCAGGCAGTATCTACTAAAGCTGAACATAAAACGCCCCGTGACCCATCATTGTGTACATACGTTTGCCAAAAGACATGTACCAAAATGTTCTTATCAGCACTATTTATACTAGCCCTAAACTAGAATGAGTATATTAAGGTATATCACACATGAAATGTAAGAGAGCAATGAGAATGAACAACTACACATAATAGAGATGCATCCCACAAACATGGTGTTTAAAGTACACAAAAAGCCAGTAAACATTGCATGTTTCCATTACATAGTCTAAAAAGAGGCAAAACAAGTTTGTGCTGTTAGAAGTTAGGATAGTATTTACCTTTGGTGTGGGGGTGGCAGGTGGGTAGGGGATAGAAGGAAGGGAAGATTATTAGAGGGCAGGTAATGTTCTGTTTCTAACATGGGGGGTATGTTCAGTGTGAAAATTCAGTGAGCTACGCACTTAATAATTGTCTACTTTTCTCTATATATCATACTTGAAGAAAAAAATACATACATAAACAAATAAGTGACAATGCAGCCTGGCCTGTGGAATCAACTTACGTGTTGTACTAAAGAACACATATTTATATTAATATGCGGTCCATTATTTGGAAGACCAGTTTGTATCATCATCATTCTTATTCAAGTCCACTTTAGGTGTAGTGGAGTTTGGGAATTGGATTTATGGGATGCAGTCCCACATGG